CTGAAATACCCAGTCCCATCTTGATTTCTAAACACCATTCTCTCCTAATAGGAACAAGAGTTCATTTTGGAAATGCTGACCTAGGTCTAGGACAGAAAATGTTCAAGATGAGCCTTAATGCCAGAAAGCAAGAATAGTGCTCAAAATAATGAAGGAAGCATGTCAAATAGAAATAAGTTCCAGCTTGAAAAGCCTCCCACTGACCAAATCTGGGGCAATTTGGGCATGAAAGCAAATATCCATAGACTAAAATAGGAATATATGACTCCATGCTGATATTAAATGGAAATGATAGATAAATAGATATACAGTTTAGATGTATCTTACTTCAATATTAATTTTTGATTATTAATGACAATGGATTTAAGATATTTCTATTTCTTCTTAGAAATGTCTACTGGTCTGTAATCCTAGTTACTCAGGAAAGACTGAGACAAGAGAGTCAAGGCCAACCTGGGAAACTTAGTGAGACCCTGTCTCAACATTTTTTTTTTTTTAAAGGGATGGGAATGTAGCTAAGTGGTAGAGCATTTGCCTAGTATAAACCAGGCCCTGGATTTGATCCCCAGGACCACAATAAAATGAAGAAAGAAAGAAAAAGAAAGAGAGAAAGATCTACCTATGTCCTTTTCCCTTATTATGATTAGAGTTTAAATATTTTCTGTTACCTTATCTAAGTTCTCTGTCTCATTGTATATGTGGGTGTGTACACATGTGTGTACACATATATATGTATATATGTATGATAGCCCACCTTTATCACATTTATTGAAACTATTTTTCCTAGTTGTCTTTTTAATTTTAACAAATGAAATTTTTGTTGTTACTTTTAGCATCTCATTATTTTATTTTTTAATTAATTTTTTATTTATATATGACAGCAGAATGCATTACAATTCATACTACACATGTAGATCACAATTTTTCATATCTCTGATTGTATACAAAGTATATTCACACCAATTCATGTCTTCATACGTGTACTTTGGATAATAATGTCCATCACATTCCACCATCATTTTTAACCCCGTACGTACCCCCTCACTTCCCCTCCCATCCCTGTTTTTAAGAACTCCTTCAGATAGTAGCATCACATTAAGAAAAATAATTACTTACTGTATATTTTATTCATTCGAATTTATTCATTGACTTTTCTTCACAAAGATAAAACACCCCTCCCCCATCCCTAGAACATACTACTCAGGCCAAAATGGAAGGTGAAAAGAAAGAGACAGAAAAGGGAGGCAAACTGTGAGGATTAATAAGAGAAGAGTTGAATTTCCTCAGCTGTGCCTTAAACCATTCAGTTGCAATAGCAAAGGACACCAGAAGAGGAAAATGTGATCCTCTTCCACAGAGAAATTAATTACTTTCTTAGATTTGAAACCTTTCCAATGAAAAATTTCCTGTTGCCCAGGAGCACATTCCTAATTAATGATCTTTAGTTTGTCAGGTAAGCTCATGCTACATAACTCCCTTCTCAGCTCTTTATTAAGGAAGAGGCATTTAAGGTGTGAGCTGCAGGCAAAAGAGTAGGGGATTTATGCGGAGAAAATGAACTGGCAGTTGGAGCCTGTGCACCACATTCTTCTGCATGGAACCATCAGATGGGGCTCCAAAGATCTTCGCCCCCTGGCTCAGTGGAGAAGAGTCTGTGCTGACTCAAGGCTCCAGCACACTCTTAGAAAAAAATCACTGCACAGTTAACTTCTAAATTACTGAGAACAATTGTAGAGATCAATAGAAAACACCAAGCTCTAAAGACATTTCCCACAGCATAATTTGAAGAAGTAGAATACAGGAAGCAGTGAGCCACAGAAAATCAGGTCGTACTACTAATTAGAAAATTTTCTGAGCTTTCTCTCAAGAAAATCAGTTCATCAGTTAAAGGACTAATTTGAAACATGGTTGGTTTACAAATTTTCATTTGGATTGAAAAAAATTACAGCCAGATATTTGCGCCAATATTCTAAATAAAATTGTAAGACTGATTAATTCCTTACTGTTAATAAAATTGTAATGGAAAATTGATTATTCACTAGTAGTTAAAAGCTGTTTTCCACATGTCAGAATAAAGACAGTCTATGAAGCAGACACACACACAAAAAAATCCACTAGAGTATTATGTTTAATCAGAAAAGGAAGAAGCTTAGCACTGCATCACCAAAAATGTAACTTCCTTCCTTAAATTTTAATTTTTATAACATTTCCTTGCAACAAACTAATAAATGCTTACCTTGTGTTTAGCTGTTAATCCTAACTAGTAATCTTTTTTTTTATTCTTTGACTTTGTTTGATTCATACAGATGCCACAAAGCACTATATAATATGTGTACCTGTGTGTATGCCTATGTAGTTTTTTTTTTTCTTTTTTTTCCAAGTAAATAGTCTAGTAGCCATTTTGGCCCTTCCTATCAGTGGAAAATCCAGTTTAACCTCTACTCGTATCCACCCATCTCATTCAATTTGGTATGTGTGGCTCAGCTATTCACAGTGATGTGATGTCTGGAAGTTAAGGTACGCTGAGAATGTGTCTGCCAAAAGCTATTCTTTTAAATAAAAATAAGAAAATAAACTGTCCTTAAGCAGACCAACAGGGCCAAGTTTTCTCCTCACTAAAAAGAATACCCCCTTTTAGAAACTGCCAGGGTATTCACAGGCTCACCATCCTTCTTCAAAGGGATGTCATATCTCCTGACCTGAATGGTCTGACCAGTCACTACTAATAGTTCTATTATTCTCCTCCCATGTGCAGTCTCCGAATGTACTCTACTTTGAATTCTTTCCTTTCACTCTTCCTATATGCCCAGGTCACATCCTGTACATAATTCCTTCATGTTATCTTAAATATTTACTTCTCCTATAATTGCAAAGCTAAAATTCTGATCCATTGTTCAATTGTTCTCTTTTTCTATTTCTGAACTCACAGTATCTTCTCATTTGCATGAGATAAATTAGATATTACTTGGGTTTTATTTTGCAAAAATTGTAATACTTGTTACAAGGAAATATGTAAATATAAAAACAGAGAACACACGAATAAACAGGAATTGTGAATATATGTTAGGGCCAACTTAATATCAACAAGATTATATTATTATATATTCTAAGGTCATATGCAAATTTCTCTGCTAAATGTTGGGCAAATTAGATACTAATATATCCTTTTTATTACATAATTAAATTACTTGCTATAGAAAAATTATGAAAATATAGATGTATAAACAAAACAAAAGTCTCCCTAATACTACTACCTAAAATGACCATTATTAACATTTGGTGAATGTCCTTTCTGGTTTTTCATATTCTTATATGTGTTGTTTTTCTCCTTCCAGATGCTGAGGCTCATACTATATGGTTTGTTTTATAATATGCTTTCCCATGTTAATAACAGCTAAAACATCATTCCTTATGTTACATTTTTAAACTTTTATGAATAACTTAATTATTCAAACCATAAAAGATTTTTAGCTATTATACCTGCATCAATTTTTACATATAATTTGGACAATCATTGTTTTATAATGTTAATCTCACTGGGCAGGTTCCATTTAAAACCCAGTTTTGTATCAAAAATCAGAAATAATGTTTAGGTCTTAGAGAAACCATGCATCCTAACATGAAATCCAGCTAAATACATTTTTTTTAATTGTACTACAGCATTTAGTTCTTTGGGCTCATCTGCTATCAATTAGGGTGATAAGCAGGCACTCAAAAGCTAGCTTTTCAATTATGTTTTCTACCTTCAACTGAAATGTTCCTGTCATTGCATATCGTGTAGTAATTTTGAAAAGGCTTCATCTTAGCAACCAAGTGATAACTTTAAAATCAAGAATCTGAACCAATTAATTCCTAACATTAATTACTTCTTTTAAAACAAAAGGCACTTAAAAGTAAGAGACTGCAAATATACTTTTTATCCCACTAGCAGTCCTTATCTCTTTTCCCCCCAGCTCACAATCCTGTTGACAACTCATGCTCAGACTCAAATCATCATTCAAATCATAATTAAAGCATAATTCTGAGCTCTCTTTGTACATGCTAATTCCACCACCACCAGATGTAAAAGCCACACAGAAATTCCTATAGAGTATTATTAGCTTGCAAGGAGCAGAATTAAGATGCATAAAAGTATCTTCTATAGCAAGTAAATATTTTGGTTTTAATTACATTATTACCTTGTTTTATGCTACTAATTACTACAATTTATTGTATAATTGACTCTCAGAGAAAAATATTACCAGAACAGTTCTGCAGTTTTAAACTGAAGATGGTATATACTAATGATTTTGTCTTACTGCTCAGTTCCCTTTAAAAATATGTGAAATATTTTTGTAATAGATTTGAAAAATCTCTTTCCTATTCTCCCACTAATGTATAAAGTTATTGTGTACTACTGTTATTTGCTGATTTATTACCCTATAAGTCATAGGACAATAAAAAATTGTATTCTCCAGCCAGAGACAATATATTATCTGTCTTTATTCCCTAGCACCCAGCTCAGAACTTGAAACTTAGTAGGTACTCAATAATTTCATTAAATAAATTAACAATTTAATCATTTCAAGGATTCCTTTAACTTGACATCATAAGAGTATTATTGTTGAATGTTAGCTATTATCCATTTCAGCATTTACAGATTAACAACCTGCAGCCTTTAGAGCAAAAGGCTGAACATTAGAAATAATAATAGTTTGCCATAGATTGAAAACAAATGAACTCATTCTGAGACTAGGCAGTCATTCATAAGCCACTTGAGCTGCCTGCCCTCTTACAGTTTATGACCTCAGTCAAGTCTTTCTAGTGAAATAAAGCCTGTGTTCACTCTGGGGCCATCCATTGTTCTCTCTGTAATTTGTACCAAATTTTAAAGGTTATAAATACTTGTGGTAAAGCCTGGCTGTTGAGCCACATTCATTCATGTATAGGTGCCTTTTCTTATTAACTACAAGACTGGGAACTGGCACTTACTTACTTCATAATAACCTAATCATACATACCTTTGAACTCAGGATGTTCTTCAAATGCCGTGATTTATTATGTCCTCCTTGGTCACAGAACAGTCAACCTTGTCAAATTCAACCAGGCCAGCCTCTTTCTCCTAGGAGTAGTAGCTAGCAATAAAAAGTGAAGAGTTATTTCTCACGTGTAACTGTATATACTTGGAATTATTTTTCAAATTTAAAAAAATTCTAATAAGTTATATTGCAAATGACAGTGAAATGAGTGCAAATAAGCACAGTTATATACATAAATTTTTTCTACCATGTCTAAGCCTATTTCCAGCTTATTGCCGTGCTTTTTGTTTAATTTCTCTTGAACTAATGTGCCCTCTAATGGTTAAAATAAAAATATAATCAGAACCATAAAATAAGTGCCAACATATTAATTGCAAAGAATATTTCCATTCCCTTGACTTGAACCTATGCCTTTCAGATTAAAATAGATGTCCTTTAATAAATAACAAGAAAGTTATTGTATTTTTGTAACAATTAATTTCTAACAAAAAATTTGGTCATAATATAAAAACATATGCACAGAAAATACATTTAATTCTGTGTAGAAGAGGAGAATTGAAATCAAAGACAAAGACTTTCTGCCTTGTTTAACCAATTAACTGCCTTGTCAGTAATTTAAATAATTTGCTTTTTATCAAAATAAGATAGTACATCCATAGCATGGAATTTTCAAGTCCTTTCTAATTGTTGATGGGAAGTGGGGAAAAATTACAGCCTTTTCCCTGCCTCAGAAAGTAAAGACATCATTTCTCTATATACTTGGGATGATTTTCACTGAAGTGAACTTAACTATCAAAACCACACAGTCTCTGATGAAAACAAGATTAGAATTTGGAAGTATTATACAGTTTGCTGATTTGGGCTGGTGCTTTGTATGTATCACAGAGATTGTTATTTTATTAGGAAAAATATCCCCACATTTTCCTGAGTTCCATTTCATGTCTTTATCCTTCAGCACTAGTTTTAAAGATGCACAAACTATCTTATAGGTATACGATAGTAATTTTTAAGTGAACACAGAAATATTGAAAAGGCTGCAGGCTGAGAGACAGAAGACCTGGATTCCAGTTCTGTTTGTGCTACCAAGTGACCTTGAACAAAGGCATAAAAAATTCCGATTCTGTTTTCCTCTCCCTACAAAAAAGGCAATTGAATTAGATAACTTCGGAGCTCTCTTATAATTTAAAATTTAAGATTTAAAAACAATGATACACATGGAAAAATATATAATCATTTTGTCTTTATAATATAAATTATAAGGCATTAATTAGCTTTTTAAGTTATTTATTTTTTTCTTTTGCATTATTTCATTGTACTTGATCATTTTGCATAATTACATGATAATGTTCAAATAGACTATGATAAAATTAAAATCTCTGGTGAAAATACTTATAAAATATAATCACTCAGAATTAAGTAATTTCTATTGTCATTTACCATTGTTTATATTGTTTTTATTAGTCTGTTGTTTGGTGTGTATTCCTACCTCTATACTTTAAAGACAGAATTATTTCCTCTATTATTACTTCCCCATGGCACCACTATTCAGTTAAAGGAATCCTCAATGAGACTTACCAACATACTCAAGATTGAATTTGCCAGATTAATGAATAAATTACAGCTGGGACCCTGGTGAATGAATTATCAATAAAAGAAGTGAATGTGTATGTTCTCATATTGTTAAAGGAAAACATAGATGCAATATGCCAAGGAATTTTAAAGTATATTTAGTAAATGTATGTTTGCACCAAAATCTATATTATGATAAACAACTGGAACCAGAGATATCTTGATGATAAAGAATATAACCATTTAAAAAAAATCTACAACTCACATTATGTAGAATTAGAACTGGTATTATATTGCTCCCGGATCTCCAATTTCATAACTTCCAACTATGAAGAGACCTGGAAATCAAAGAACAATCAGTCCAATAGTTCCTCTGTGATTTCTCAGTACAGCATTAACCTAGTAGAATCTCTATCAAAGTCTCCAGCAAGTTTAGTAGTAGCCAGGATTGGAGGCTCTACACAAGAAGCCTCTGTGTGCATTGATTAGGAAACCTCCCTGTGTTCCTGTTACTATTGATTTCCTTGTATCCTTTTATTTTCTGGAAGCAAGAGGAATTCTTTTCATTCTACTGACAAAAACTGAATTCTAGGTTGTGTATATAGCTCATGTGTAAACTTAATCAATGGTCAGCAACCTCTATTCCTTACCTTTACTCCTCACTCAGAGGTTACTTTTACCTATCTTCTCACCTAGGCTTACCATGTAGTCTTTACTGCTGCTTCCTTAACACCATATGTGAGACCCACACTCAGGAAGCACACTGATGGGCATCCATAACTATAGCATTATTCTTTAATTTCTGATCTCCAATATCAGATAATTTATCCTGGTCCTTATCATGTACTTCACAACCACCTACTCTGGACTTCTAATTATTTATGGTTCCTTCCTAGGATTGCAACTCTTTGAGATCTGCTCAGCCTTCCAAATATTATTGCTTTTTTTTTTTTTTTTTTTTTTGGTATTGGGTATTGAACCTAAGGGCACTATACCTCTGAGCTATATTCCCAGTTTCGTTTTGTTTTTGTTTTTTAATTAAAACAGGGTTTTGATAAACTGCCAAAGTTCTTGTTAAGTTGCTGAGGCTGGCCTCAAATTTGCAATCCTCCTTCCTGAGCCTCCTGAGTCCTGGAATTACAGATGCCATAATGCTCAGCTAAAACATTATTGCTATTTGAAACCTGCCCTTGCAGCCATCAGTGCTAGAGGAATGAGAGGCAAAATTAGGTGCTTGTATAGACATAGACCCTAGCACCAAAATACCTGGGTTTGGATCCCAGATCTTTTACTTTCTAGTTTCATGACTGTGGACAAATAACAATCTCTCAATGTCTCTATTCTTTCTTTATAATATACAGACAAGTGAGCAGCCTCACAAGGTTATTTTGAGGAGTAATCATGGTTCCACAATAAAATGCTCAGAATAATATCTGGTATATAATAAGTAATCAAAATGTGTTGATAAGTAATCAAAAATATTATAAATTATTAAATGACAAGTTTAACTCTTTCTCTTAGTCATAAAGGCAGAACTCTAAAAATGCAAAGGAATTATTTTTATGACTCAACCATCTGGCAATCTTAATTTCTATTTTTTATAGTTAATGTGCTCATAAATCCTAGTTTCCTAGTTTACACCTGTTGTCCTGGGGTGATTATTAATATAGCAATTCCTTTCATTCTCAAACGTGTCCAGGTTTAAACAATAAAGTATGTAATAATTCTAATTATAATATAAAGTGTTTGGTTACTCTCCCATACAATTAGGAGAATGAATTTGGCAGCCTCTGAGTTCATGTAAAGCACAAGAGTTTTATGAAAATACACAGTTATACATAAAAATAAATATTTGAGTGCTTTGTAAATAAAGTCTAAAATCTTATATAAAGTGTTATTAGTTTTGGTGAAGGTGAAATAATTTGATATCTTTATTTAAAAATGGAAATAAATGGAGCATGAACTAATGAGCATGTGTAGAACTACATTTATTTCACTTGTTTGAAATGTGTGTGTCTCTCTGGAGCCCCTTCCTCACTCCCCATGGCTTTCTCTTCTTCCTTACTTGCTTTCATACTCCCCTCTTCAAGACTAGAGGTGGGAAAAGGATGAGCAAGACCAGACAGAGGGCTTCTCCCTGCTCCCTAAGCTCCACCCACTTTATATATCAGCGTTCCCAAAAAAGATGGTCCTTCTCTAAACTAAGCCTAGGGAAAAATCACTCCTAGACAAGTATTAATGGAAGCTCATAAATATAGGAAAGAAAAATATAGATTTATGAGTCCTCTGTCACTGCATGAAATCTACAGAATGACAATATTGAATCTGAGAAGTAATAACATCTTCAATTAGTTTTTTCCTAAATATTTTAAATATGTGAAACAAGAAAGAACTTCTGGATAACAACAAAAATTTTAAAAGATTAAATATATCACATAAGAATTGCTTTCTTTTTCTTTTCTTTTTTTCTTTTTTTTTTTTTTTTTTGTATCAGGGTTTGAACCCAGGGGCCTTAATCACTGAGCCACATCACCAGTCCTCTTATTTTTATTTTGAAACAGGGCCTGGCTAACTTGCTGAGGCTGGCTTTGAACTTTCGATCCTCCTGCCTCAGCCTCCTAAGCCACAGGGATTACAGATTTCATTTCTTATCTCTTTCCATCATACAGTTTTTCCAATTGGAACATTGTCTTGCCATATTTATGTTCATCTTTAAATTAAATGCATTGCTAAAAGTCTTTGATTGATAAAATTTGTAAAATTTGAACCAAATACACATCACTTATAAAGCATATATTGCAATCAATGCTACTTACTTTAAAAGTTGATTGATTACATAAACATGATTCACAATTATAGAGATTTTTATGTACCTCAATGGATGTGCAAAAATTTAATCTTAAATATGAATCACACTATAATTGCTTGATTGTTGCAATGAGCTGAAAAAAAACAAAAAACAAGGATTCTGTGGAGAACAAGAAGTTGTGAAAGCAATCATAAAGGGAAACAATTGTTACATTTATGATTCTTTCAATTATAGATTATAGAGACAACTACACCACAACCTCCTCAGTTTCAAGACAGCATGGTGTTTCATATAATAAGCCTCTGAATAAAGGAAATATTATCAATAGCATTTGCAACTTAATTGGCTATCTTTGAAGCTAAGGATGTCTTTATGCCTTCCAGCTTTGATTCCCACCTGTATTTTAGAACATTGGCATTCTGTCCAGCTGTTTAACCTCCGTTTATGTTCATAGATTCTCCAAAGGATACTGCATATACGTTTGACTTTTCCTGAGCAACATTTTCACAGGGAGGAATAAACAAGCCCAGAATCTTTAAGCGTTCGTAAATTTATGTGTTTATGCAACAACATGCTTACACTGCACCTCTACCCTGTTATAATTACACTTAACATTAAAGGAACCATCATCTCAAACCACAATGTTTATTAAGTCCTCAAACAAAGCTTTCCTCTAAGGCCTGGCCCATTTGCCAGAAACAGTACTAAGAGGCAATTTCTATTTAATGGTTTTTCTAGAAGAACCTTTGGCCTAGTAAAGGCTGATGTTCTCTAAGGTATCTGCCCCCAAAGAAATGCCAGGCAGTAAGAATGGCAGCTTAAGAAATGATAGTTTTACTGCACTGGTTTGGTGTGACCAGGAAGGAGAATGTTTACTAATATACTACTATAAAGAGTGAAGAATGAAAAAAATGTACACGTCATGGTTAAAGAATTCTAATAACCTAAATATCCTGGCAGGTAAAATTGGGGGGAAGGAAACACTCGTGTCAAACTAATGTCAATGATCCATCCCTTTGATTTTCCTAAAGTGAGTTCTCAGGTATAATATGAAAGCATCCTCTTTAATCCCTGCCATTGAAAAGAAGTCTTTATTTGATGTTTGTTAAGTGTCATTCAATCAGTAATGCCAACATAGAAAGTGTCAAAAGAGAGTGGATTATTAGAGACAACAATATTTAAAGAGCAATACCCTGATTCACAGAGTGAAGTTCCCCACAATGATATTAGCTCAAGTAACTAGCACTATTCATTTTTTTCTGGAGGATCAATGCTTATCTGAAAACACTTGGAAGGAAGCAAACTCAGTTCAGGGAAGTGAGGTCCCAGTCATGGTTGCCAGTCCTTACAGAGGGAGTCCCTCTATTCTTTATACAGTTCCTTGAGCTGCTGTTCCTACTCCCTGATGGCACGGAACAAAGGTATATTATGATTTCAGAGACATTGCAAGGTTCCCCAACACCACTCCATGAAATCCAACATTGATAAATTCCTACTATGGCTTTTCCTGTACTTCACAGAACTGATTCTAGAAAATTTTTAAAAAAACAAAAATACTGCTGGGCATGGTACAGTTCCAACCACTCAGAAGGCTGAAGTAGGAAGTTCACAAGTTTCAGATCAACATGGGCAACTAAGTGACCCTATATCAAAATAAAAATAAAAGACTAGGGATGTAGCTCAGTAGTGTAGTGTTTGCCTAGCATGTGCCAGCCCCTGGGTTCAATCCCCAGAAATATATATATATAAAAAAAAAAAGTTACTAGAAGAAGAAGACCTAACACTTCACCATCTGCTATGATAGCAACACCAACTTTGTAATTCATAACATCTGATTAAAAAAAGGAATCATGGGCTGGGGTTGTAGCTCAGAGGTAGAGTGCTCGTTTAGCATGTGTGAGGTGCTGGGTTCAATCCTCAGCACCACATAAAAATAAAATATTGCATCCACCTATAGCTAAAAAATAAATATTTTTTAAAAAGGAATAAAAAAATGTGGTTAGCCTTCATCCATCCAACCAACCAATCAACTATTTAGCTAGGCTAATTGCTGGGAATCTCAAAATACATTTCTAAAATGTCCCCACTTTCCCAAGTGGGGAAAGTGAACATACATATAAATAATTTATTGCATAAAATAAATGAGCCTTAAGAAGGAATCATTTGATAAGAAGGAACAGAAATTTGTTTGAGCCAGCCAAATAAAAAAGATATTAGCATAATGGGTTAATAATATTTAACAAGCAATCTCAAGAGGAACTCAAACGGGAATTAATAAGCCAACAGAAACCAAGACAGTGCCCACTCCTCCTTTTATGCCTTCAAGGACATTTCATATATGCCTTTTCCTGTAATTTTCTCCATTTTCTACCTTTCCTCCAGATAGACTCTTTTGGCTTGCACATATGGCTATATCAGCCCTTAGGACCATAAAACCTTACTTCTCCCACACCCATAGCCAACTAATTTACTCTCAGTATCACCATATCTGTTCTTTGAAATTGAGTCTGACTTAATCACACCTAGTCC